TTAAAAGCCTAAAAATCTATATATAAACATGTATATATATAGACATATACATATCTATATATAAACACACACACACATGGTATACACATATTAACAGTAATAGGAACACATTATATGTATTAATTTACAATATGTATATTATAAAGCTTAACAGATTGTGTCCTATTTGCAAAGGGGAAGATAATGTATAAGAAATTTTGAAAATGTACACAGTATATTATAAGACTTCTTATAAAAATAAAGAAATTTATAACAAATATATGTATTTTTGTATTATAATTAAAAACATCTTGCTAAGTATAATTTTATGGGCTTATATTTTTCAAATATTAATATATTTATGTATATATACGTGTATATATGTGTGTGTGTGTGTGTGTGTGTGTATGTAAATATATTGATATATATAAGTATATAATTTCGAAAATTATATACATGTCTATAATATATAATTTTCGAAATCTATTTATAAATCGGATGATATAAATATGCATTGTAACACATCTTACTGAAAAATACATTAAATCAAAACGGAGCCCAAGATCATCCGAAAAAACGATGTGAAGAAAAAAAAGTGAAAATAATCGGCGCACATGGAAATCGGCTAATAAAAAAAATCCAGAATCTAAAGAAATCGGGTAATGAAAATCCAGAATCTAAAGATCTTTTTCATTACAACAGATCTTAATGAAAAAACTATAAAATCAAAACAAAACGCAAAACGATCCAAAAAATATTGACTAAAAATATCAATACCTAATAAAGCCATTGATGCATCGACGAACAGAATCAGCTTATAGGGAAACCAACAAATGTAATCCGTATATGTTCAATAACCAAGAAACAACAACATAGGAGAAAGAGAGAGACAGCAAGTATGTCGAGAAAGAGGGGGTGGATGCGGCGGAAGAATTTAGTAGGTTTAATAAGGTTTGATAAGTAGGTTTTATATGAATCGAGTCTGGGCCGAAAATATTGTGTGGGCCGGATATAAAATGTGGGCCGAAAAAAGTTTAGTCATTGCCTATTAATCCCTCCGTCCCTGAATATTTGTTCACTTTTGACTTTTTTCGGTCAAAAATGATAAACTTTGACCTTAAATTAAATAAAAACGATGTTAGATATTCATACAAAAATAGTTTTATTTGATTTATTATATTAAATATTTTCAGAATATTATTTTATCTAATTAAAAAACAATATATATTTGATTTAATTCAAGGTCAAAAGTTGAAAATACTTGACGGAAAAAAGTCAAAACTGAACAAATATTCTAAAACAGAGGTAGTATATATATTTTTATCTCTGTTCCTGAGATTTTGTTTAGGTTTGACTTTTTTTGTTATGTATTTTTAACTTTTGATCTATTATTAAATATAATATATATTGTATTTTTATTAGATAAAATAATATTTTGATAAATATAATAACGAATTTTTTTACGGTGCAACGCACAGATACAAAATTTTTTTGAGCTATTGCCTATTAGATATTTGCATCTCCTTCCCTAAGTTTTTATCCTGATTTGACTTTTTTGGTCAATTATCTTCAATTTTTGACATATAATTAAATAAAATATAAATTACATATTAAGTAGATAAATCCGTTTTTTGACAATAATTGATATAATAAATGTAATAACACTATTTTTGTATCAGTATCTAATATCATTTTTAAATTTAAGGTCAAAATTTTCTAATTTTTACGGAAAAAATCAAATGTCGACGAATACTCAATGACGGAGTGAGTATATTTATTGGTTAAGTATTCACTGGCTCGAAAAAACATGGATGAATTATATAAACAAATTTTTATCCTGAGATTGTTGACAGGGAAAAACATTGGTCAAGAAATTGTTATCCCGTAATTGTTCTTACACCATCGGATGCAAGAATTTCTTTTAAATTTCAAAGGAAACAGTTCCCGATTATGATTTCTCATGCTATGACAATTAATAAAAGTTAAGGACAATCATTGACGCATGTTAGGCTTTTACTAAAGAAATCTGTATTCAGTCATGACCAGCTTTATGTGGCATTATCACGAGTCACTAATCACAATGGATTAAAGATTTTGATTTGTGGTGAAGATCTTGTGATACCTGATAAAACCGCAAATGTAGTCTATAAGAAGTTTTCTAAAACTTATTATGTTATTTTTTTCACATTGTGCGTTGTTGTAAAACTTCTCTCCTCTTTAATATACATCACCTATCTTTGTTTAAAGCAAATTTTATCTTTTACTTCTATCAATGCTTCCCTTATTTAACTTTAACTCAGACCGTGCATCGCACGGGTTCGAGTCTAGTAGACTCAATACACAATAAGCCTTTGTCAGAATCCTAGATGCCTTTGCACTGTTACATGGGTCATTGACTCTAAGTCTTTTAGGTCATTAATTTTTATTCGTAAAACTCAAATACTCAATGCATAATTGCCACACATTTTGTGGGGGCTTACAGCGGGGTTGGAATTGGGGTGGGGGGTTTAGGGGTGGGTTATGGGGGCGTATAAATCGTCAATTTTACGAATGGATCTTTGGAAGTGCCCCAAAATGACAGTAGCACCGAAGTGTCAACGTATTCCGGTGTCACTAGAACCTCACTAAACTTCGAAATACATTTTATATATTTAAAACATGCATAAATATTCTACAAAATAAAAGTTGATATGAATAAAAGCTTTTGCTGTCTTGTAAGATGTGGAGTATTAGATAAAGTAATACACAGTAAAAATTATAATTATTTTGTATCTAGCATTTAGGAAAAGTTCTTTTAGGTAGTATTGAAGGTCTTCTTTGAACACTAAATGGAGGACAAGATTTTTCCAAACAAATAACATGCTACTCTATATATACTTTTGGTATAATCACTTCTTTTTGGTTTAAGGACAATAAGCATTTTCCTCCAAAAGATTAGAGTGTTGAGACTTTATGCGTGTTATTTTTTATCAAAGGAAGCTTCCATTATAATCACCTTCTTTTACCTAAAAATGGACTGTTATTGATCAATCCAAAAGAAACAAACATTTTGTGGAATGGAGGGTGTAAAAACGACAACTGAATAAAATTGAGTAATGCAACAAACAAAATAGTCACAAGTTCTTACATTAAATCTTACTATTTAACTTATTTTAGACTATTAAATCTTACCATTTAAATTATTTTAGACTATTTTGCATCTCTCCATTTATTTCTCGTTTATCCCCACGAGAGTAGACTTCCAAATAAGTAGAAAAGTTGGGGAGATTTTCAAGACACGTGGCGAACACTCATTGGATCAAACTATCCTAATGACGCCAATTCCTAGTCTAGTTAACAAAATAAAAATAAAAAGGGAAAAAAATATACTTCCCTCCGTCCCCAATTTGATTACAAATTGCGGGTTACGGAGTAAAATTTTATACTTTTTAAAATCATTTTATTTACAAATTGGTACTCTATCCGTCCTATATCTTTCTTCCCGTTGCGCAAAACGAAGAAAAATCCCAAGTTTTTTCAATCTATTTTATTTAAATATTGATATAGAAATAAAAAATAAAATATACATATTTAAAAACAACATCAAAAGTTCAACAAAACAAGTGGTGTCAAGAATATTTTATTTTATCATATAGGCCATGAAAAACACAAATAAATATAAATTCCCGTGAAGTTAGAATAGTGCTCTAGGAAGAAAGTTTCAGGACGGAGGAAGTATATCAATAAGATATAAAAATTACATATTAAAAAACTACGTCAAAAGTTCTACAAAACAAGAGATGACAAGAATATTTTATTTTATCAAATACTTAATGAAATCGCATAAACAAAAAAAATTATCGAGAGAAGAAAAAGAAAAAAAATTATAATCTATTTAGGAAAGGAATAGAACAAACGAAAATGCCCTACACCATAAAGAACTCTTTACCAAATACTCCCAATTCTATACGGATAGGAGTATATATGTATGTATGTATCTATATATATATATATATATATATATATATATATATATATATATATATATATATATATATATATATATATATATATATATATATATATATCTATATNTGTATATATATATATATATATATATATATATAGACACACACACATAACTTCATCTTCTTCCATATCACTCAAAATTAAGAAGCGCAGGTATCTCTCTCTTTCTTTCTTTTAAATTGTGGATCACTAGAAAAAGAGCACGCATTCTTTTTTTTTTTCAAGTTATGGATGAGTACAGTGTAGATTATAAATTACTCCGTATCGATTTCATCGTCTTTATTTTGTTATATTTCTTCATCTTCTATGTTGTTTCTTAAAGTTCTTCCTATTTTGATTTTTAAAAAAATTAAGAAAGAGATATGTTTAGGTTGATTTTCCAAAAATACACCTGATATAATGGCTATAAGTAATATGTGATGTGTAGACTATTAGTAAAAATGTAATACCTCCATCTCAGTGTATTTGTTCAGTTTGACTTTTTCAAGTCAAACTAGACAAACTTTTAACTTCAATTACTTTCAATTTATATTACATATTAGCATAATGAAATACAATTTTGAAAGTTCTCAATACGATAAATCTAATAAAGTCATTTTTATATTAAAATACATTACGATTTTTCTTTAATTGAAGCTCAAAGTTTGTGCAGTTTGACTCAAAAAGTCAAACTGAACAAATATACTGGAACGGAAGGAGTATGATGTGATATGTAGAGTACGAATTACTCCGTAAAAAATAGTAAAAGATTAAAAATGGGTTTTTAACGAAAATAAAAAGTACTTTATGGGACAAAGAAGGAGAGGGAGGAGTATATGTTATCAATTGATTGCAATAGGGGTATATATTTTGACACTATAATCGTCTTCCAAGTTTGTTTTTTTCATTCTCTCTTTTATTATTGGGAACAAAGACTTTTGATGATGGGATTACTCATGCACATGGCATAATAGTTTTAAGTGTTTGTTTCTAAATATGTATAGGAATTCTGATTAATTATCATATATGAGGATGGGGCTACCATTGGCATATCATCATCATCATCATCACGTTTTTAGCAGAGGCCAACAATTTCATCTCTGGACACTACTACCCATCATCCTTTGGCCATGCCTGGTTTACATGGCCGAGGGGGCTAGGACGGCGCCGGCGCCGCCGCCGCCCACTGAGAGGGTGGTGGTTAATTCTTCCGAGCTCCACGCCGTGAGGAAAGTTCTGTGTTCCATGCAGGTATTCCCAGCTACGTGCGGGAATACCAAGCTGGAGGGGAAGATGACGGCAGCTGACGTCAGCAGTCCTCTGGCGTTCGCCAAGCGCAACTTAGAGCTGGCCGCCTCTGAGCTGTCGGCGCTGCGGTCCTCGTCGCCGCTGACATCAGGTTTCCGGCTGCGTCCGGACCACGCTCATCAGATAAATCTTTTAAAATCCCTCCGAGCATCGCCGTGGCTAGCGACTGCTCCTCGCCCAGACGAGTTCCCAGATGAACCTCGTTACGATGAGATCGAAAGCAATTGGGGCGAGTGTCGGGTGATATTCGAGGAGCTTCGTATCGTCCTCGAGGGCGCTCTGGAGAAGCTGGGAGGAGGAGGAGAGGAGATTGGGGAGGAGGAGAGGGTTGGTATGGTGAGATCATTAGCGAGGGGGCGTTGGCACATGGATCTGTGTTACGTGGGACTGAAGACGGAAGGGAGCGGGTGGGTGGAGTCGTTCTCACCGATAATACATGACCACTTGTGGGACTATTCTGCCTACTCTGGTTATGCCCTCTTCGTCTTGAGCAACCCCAAAGAGATGGAGACTAGGATGATGAAGATGATCCAGGATGGGGATGCTCAACGACGACCATGCTTCCTATCCTCTTCATCATAATCCTCCATTCTCATATACTCCCTCCCTCCGTACCATAAAGATTTGATTGAACCGTTCGACTAAAGTAAGTAGGGATAATTTTGTGCTGACTTTCCAAAAATACCCTCGATGTGATGAGTAAAAGTAGGATGTGACAAGTATATTATTAGAAAAAATGTATGATGTCATAGGTAGAGTATGAAAAAGTAACAAGTAAAAATAGTTTTTTAATGGAAATGAGACGGACTTTAATGGACGCAAATTTTTTCATAACGGGATTGACTTTATGAGACATACATAGGGAGTATATGATATGATCCTACATGATATTCTATGGTCTGCATGCTATCTACTTCTCGATCACCTTTCCCACCTATAATTAATCGATTACTACTTCGTCTTTGGTTGATCTAAATTTGTTGAATTATGTATGTACTTTCTCCCCGTCCGTCTCAATTTTTTGAAAAAGAACTAACATTTTGTATAATTAATAATAATAACATTTTATTTTTATATATTTTTTGTGAATAATTTGATTCTTTGAAATAAATATTTTTAAATCATTTTATGTTATCTTTAAAAAAAACTTGGAGTCGCTGCCCCCGGACCCCTGAAGTCCCCCCCCTACTAGTGACCTCCTAGCTAGTAGCTCCGCCACTGTGTGTATGATTAAAATAGAGCACAATGAAGGGTAGGCGCACGGTTCTTCCAATCTTGCTCCTATTATCTCTGGTAGGGAGTGGTTTAGAAACTGTTCAGTCACATTTCTTGCAATCATGCTCCTTGTGCCTCTGGTAGGGAGTGGTTTAGAAACTGTTCAACCACATTTCTTGCAATCATGCTCCTTGTGCCTCCGGCAAGGAGTGGTTTAGAAACTGTTCAGCCACATTTCTTGCAATCATGCTCCTTGTGCCTCCGGTAGGGAGTGGTTTAGAAATTGTTCAACCACATTTCTTGCATGTCTCTTGTAAGAAGTGGTTTAGAAACCTGTTCAGCCACATTTCTTGCCATCATGCTCCTTGTGCCTCCGATAGGGAGTGGTTTAGAAATTGTTCAATCACATTTCTTGCATGTCTCTCGTAAGAAGTGGTTTAGAAACTGTTCAGCCACATTTCTTGGCCCCTGAAGGACACTGCCAGGAGTGAGCCTGTAATAGTGTTTGGTTCGTATCGATATCATGTCAAATATTTCAGTCTGGTATGAGATTTTACACTGTATCAATTCTGATTTCGAAGTATCGATTCGGTATGGTTCGGTACGGTTTCAGCAAGTATTGAGATGAATATATATTCATCCTAGTTTACACTTTGAAATGTATAAAATTCTTTATTTAAAATTGAAATTACATTCAAATAAGAAATGATAAAAAATTAAAAAATAAATAATAATATGCAAGAAATACCTATAAAATTTAGTTTAAATTATACGTAGTATTTCAAACAAAAAAGAGAACGAATGATAACAAAATAGTATTTCAAACGTTTCTATATTTTTATATTTATCTACAAAAAATTAAAATTAAAATAACTGATTATTTAAATAAGAGATTATTTAATTCATCTACACTTGAACCAAATTTTCAAAATCAATTTATTATTTAATGAATTAATATAAAAACATTATCATTTTTTAATATATTCGTATTTATGTTCGATTCGGGTTTTTTCGGTAGGAGAAGTTAAATTTTACCTGTCCTAAATACCGGACCGTCCATTCAGTTCGATATACTATGGTTCTTTTTCGGTATTTTATCGGTTCAGTATTTTTCAATTCGGGATATTTTTCAGTTCGATAATCTTGGGTTTCCCAAGAAATTTCGTGAAGAGTTTGATACTTGCTCACCTCTAGCTATTGCTACTGCATGTACATTCTGGTTGTTGTTCGTTTGCATAATTTAATTTTATATTTTACAGAGTATATGTTATACTTCCTCAGTCTCATAAAGAGGTTTCCTGTTTTGACTTTTAGAAAAATTTAAGGGAGAGATTTTTTATTGACTTTTCAAAAATATTTTTGATGTGATGAGTAAAAATTGTCGGGTTTGTGGAGGCTAGATATTTTTGAGTTTGACTTAGATTGACCTGTCTTATTATTAGCCATCTTTGTTTCTTGGGGAACAAGCTTTGTAGCCTTAGGTTTCTCTTAATATAAATATATGTATCTTGTGCTTGTAATTCTGTGAGACATGACAATTGAATAAAATTCCTAATGTTGCAGTCTTGAGTTAGAAAAACCGAACCACGTTAAATTTTTGTGAGTCGTTTTTATTCCGTTCCCTCTTGATTCTCGCAGATATTTGTGTGCGTTGTGTGTTTAATGAAAATATAAGATGTGATAGGTAGTTAGATAATGAATTAGTGAAGTAAAAGTAGTTTTTTAATAGAAAAAGAAAAATTTTGTGAAACAAGAAAAAAAGAGAGGCGAAAGAAGTTTCTGGTAGTAGAATTATATATTTGTAGTTGTTGGTTATTAACATTGCAACCAGTTTTTGTGATATTCTATGCAAACACTCTTTGTTTCTTCCCTTATTTATTATTTCTTCACAAATTATGTAGACTCTACTAGATTTTGTTAGGTCAATGAATTTAATTATACTCTCTCTGTCCCATAAAACATTACCCATTTTGATGTATTTTTTGTCAAACAGTTATACACTTTGATCATAAATTAAATATAATCTAAATAAAGAAATGTTATAAAAATTTGATATATCAAAACTAGATTCTGAGCTGAATCCAATTATATTAAATTTATACTATAATTCAATATATTTTTATCACAGTTTGTAGTCAAAGTGTGTAATTTTTTGACAAAATACTATTGAAAATGGGTAATGTTTTGTGGGAGAGAAGAAGTATGAAGTACGTTAAGTTGAAGTTTGTTGGAAAATGCGTCTTGTGTGCCCTATCTAAAATTTCTCTTACTTATGTATGCAAATGCATGCTTTTATATATACGTATGATCTTCGGTTAAAATTTTCTTGACATATATCCTTATTAATTCACTTCTCTTTCTTCGTTCAAGATTAAAAATCTGCATTCAACATTAAATTCTTGTTCTAAGCATCAACCATGATGTCGTCTGGTGTCCTAATGTTAGTTAACTTTATTTTTCTTTTGTCCTCCCATGGAATACATCCTACTTTTAACACTACTAATGTCAAGAGTGTTGTAGCCACCTCAAATGTTAAGCCAGGCGAAGAACCTAAGAATCACGTAGTGCTACGAATGCGATTCTTTAGCTCAAAACACTCACCCATGTTCAAACCCAACACGAGTTTTGAGCATCGTGTTGCTAGCGAGATGAATATGTCTTTGCATCGCATTGCATATTTAGAGGAGAAAAGAATCATAGCATCAAATTTTAGCTCTAGCAAATTTACAACACAACCAGATGTGACTGGTATGATGTCTCATGGTACGAGCTTATCGTATCTTGTCATGCTTTGCATTGGTTTTGAACCAGATACCCAGTTTTTAGCGCTGGACACGGGTAGTAGTTTTGTGTGGGTTCATTGCAAACCTTGCCAAAACCTTTGTGGTGGGTCGAGCAGGGTTGAAGTTACCACCTATGATCCAAAGCTAACAGACTACAATCCCAATGTTCCATGTGACGACCACTATTGCGAATATCCGGGTCGATTATTCACAGAGTGTAATTACGATAAAAACCAATGTATGTACGAAATAGGGTACGCAAGTGGTTATAGTAGTGGTAGAATGTTGGTGGACACATTCTTCACTAGCAGCGGAACTAACTTGGGTGATTTTTACTTTGGGTGTTCTGACTTGGCGTGTTTTCCACGAAATGACGAACATTTTGCGAAAATCAATGGAATATTCGGTGTCGGGACAAACAAATTGTCTTTCATGTCCCAGTTGTCATTGCAAGCCTACGAGAGACAATTTTCTTATTGTTTCGAACGCTTCCCAGTAGATGAGTATGATGTACCTGTTGACAATTGGAAGACAGACAGCACATTAGTTCTTGGAGAACCACTCATGGAAAATGGAAATTGGACACCAATGTACGTGGACCGAGGCCACTACTATGTCAGCATCCAAGAGATATGGATCGGGGACAAAAAACTCGATGCCCCGATCCGAGAAATAAGACGGTTTCCAGACAATAGAGGAGGAGCTCTAATAGACACAGGTGACGACCAGTTTGAGTAGTATACTTATTTTGCCCTCACAATTTTATACATTTTTCCATGACACCTCTCAATCTAATTATATCTATCTAATAACCTCTCAATGTCTTGTAGGTTCTACCTTAAATGTGCTTCAAAGCGGTACATTCAAAGCGTTCATGGACGAAATAAATAGATTGATGAGCAAAAGAGAGGCCCTGGGACCTACTGACGATGGCCGGCCTTGTTATGGAGGCTATGTGGAGAGTCTTCGGAATTTTCCTCTAGTCAGGTTCGTTTTTGTGGGTGGTTACTCCTCACAAATAAAACTCTATCCCTACCACTTGTTTCGCCAAGTGATTCGGGGACGTTTTTGCCTGAACTTCAAGGATGGTGGCTCTGGGTTCTCAAGTGCTCTCCTTGGAGCATCGCTTCAACAATCTATGTATGTCAACTATGACGTGAAGAAGAAAAGAATATATTTTCAAGAAGCCAATTGTACCAGCACCATCATTGACACGTAACCAACTCATGACGTACTAATAATAAGATTATATTGTTCTTCCAATATTGGCACGTAGATCATTGTTGCCTATATTATTATATTGACCGAGCTTGTGAAGGAATGGATGAATCTTTGCTGTACTGGTTTATTAAATTTTACAAAGCCGAGGGGTGTGCCCAGACGGGAAGGGGAGGGGAAGATGGGAAAGCAACGAGAGCACCNTAAAAAATATTCAAAATTCTCACTATTATTTAAACCCAACACTCTACTCATATTTTTCACACTTCACATTCATTTATTTTAAACACGTACAATTTCTCTATTTTTCATATTTTTAAACAATTCTCGCTAGAATGTCGTATCCTTTATTAGACTCGTTGTCGAATTTTTCTTCTTCGTCTTGCTCCGATGAAGCCGAAATATGAATTGTATTCCATTATGTTAATCTTTTTAATTCGAAATATGAATTGTATGTCATTATTTTTTATTGTGTCTCAATTACTTTAATGTATCAATTTTATTATTACTCTTAATTTAATTTAAATGTATAACTTTAAATGTTTGAAGTAAGTTTTTATTGTTTTTGTGTTTTTAGTTTAATTATATGAATTAAAATAAGTGTTATAAAATAAAAAAATGAAGGGGAAAAGGGGGAGGCATTTCCACGGAAGGGGAAGGGAAAAAAAGAAAAAAATGACGTGGCGCTGAATTGGAAGAAAGAGAAAAGGGAAAACCATGGAGCACTCCCCATGGCCTAAATGAGCAATACATTCATTATCCCAAGATGAGAAAAAGAATTAAGAGCATGGGCAATGGCAAGTAAGAAATTGAATGCCACACGATGACGTGGAATATTTCAGCCAATCAAAACTAGTTCAGTCAACGTGTGGTACATGAGTGGAGTGACATGTCTTGCAATAACAAGTCACTCTTTTTATCATTTTTTACACCTTTTTAATATTTTTTAATTATTAAAAATTATTTTACTTACTTTTTTTTAATAAAAATAATTGTAATCTTTTTTTGGCAATGTTAACATTTTTGACATATTTGAATTAGTCCATGTGTGCTTTTTTATTATAAATTATTGCATTTTCTTGTAAAGATTTTAATTGTACAAAGAGAAAATTAATTTTTAAATTTTTTAAATTAAATTATATAATTTCACATAAAACATTAATGTTTAAAAATGTATATTTTTTAGTCTCAAATAAAGGTTAGATTGTTTTGAAAAAGAAAATAAATTGTAAAGAAAAAAAGAAAGACAACTAAAAAAGAGTTAAAAATGGAAAACAGTGCCTCTAATCCCCTGCGCTTGCCTCTAAAAAAATAAAATAAAAAAACTTCTTTCTTTTACAAAAAAAAACAAAAAAGGAAAAATATTGGCTCGCGCTTGCCACGGCTTGCAAGGAGCCTTGCTATGTGTTGCAATGGAAAAGGAGGAAAAATGATGAGGTGGCATTCTCGGTATTTAGTCTCATATTTTTAAACAATTCTCACTAGAATGTCGTATCCTTTATCAGACTCGTTGTCCAAGAAAAAAAGGAAGGCTAAAGAAGTTTTTCGGAGTAAAATTTTATATTTGTAATTGTTATTGTTTATAAACATTGCAACCATTTTGGGATATTCTCTGCAAACACTCTTTGTTTCTTCCCTTAATTATTATTTCTTCACAAATTATGCAGAGTCTACTGCATGCAGCATGCATTTTGTTAGGTAAATGAATTTAATTGTATGAAGTACGTTAGGTTGAAGTTTGTTGGAAAATGTGTCTTGTGTGCCCTATCTAAAACTTCTCTTATGTATGCAACTATGCATGCTTCTATATATGCCTTGTGATCTTCGGTTAAAATTTTCTTGACATATATTTATCCATATTATTAATTGACTTCTCTTCGTTCAAGATTAAATATCTCCATTCAACATTAATTAAATCTTGTTCTAAGAGTGTCTTTAGCTCAAAACATTGACCCGTGCTCAAACCCAACACGAGTTTTGAGCATCATGTTGCTAGTGAGGTGAATATGTCTTTGCATCACATCGCATTGCTAGTTATCCTGAAATTTCCCAAAAAAATCGAGAAAAGTGGTTTTTTAATACAAAAAGGAAGAATTTTGTGAAACAAGAAAAAAAGATTGGAGAAAGAAGTTTTTGGAAGAAGAATTTTATATTTGTAGTTGTTGTTGGTTATAAACATTGCAACCAGTTTTTGGGATATTCTCCGCAAACACTCTTTGTTTCTTCCCTTAATTATTATTTCTTCACAAATCATGTAGACTCTACTGCAAATTGTTAGGTCAATGAATTTAATTTTATGAAGTACGTTAAGTTGAAGTTTGTTGGAAAATGTGTCTTGTGAGTCCTGTCTAAAACTTTTCTTACTTATGTATGCAACTATGCATGTCCCCTTCTATATATACGTGTGATCTTCGGTTAAAATTTTCTTGACATATATCCTTATTAATTGACTTCTCTTTCTTCGTTCAAAATTAAATATCTTCATTCAACATTAATTAATGTTGAATGAATTAAAACCCGTGTTCAAACCCAACACGAGTTTTGAGCATCGTGTTGCTAGTGAGGTGAATATGTCTTTCCATCGCATTGCATATTTGGAGGAGAAAAGAGAAAAGAATCACAGCATCAAATTTTAGGTATATTAGCAAATTTACAACAGAACCAGATGTGACTGGCATGATGTCTCATGGTACGAGCTTATCGTATCTTTTGATGCGGCTTTACATTGGTTTTGAACAAGGTACCCACTACTTAGCGCCCATCCCAGAAACACCAAGGTTTCCAGACAATAGAGGAGGAGCTCTAATAGACACATGTGACGACCAATTTGAGTACTATACTTTTTTTGCCCTCACAATTTTATACGTTTTTCCAGGACACCTCTCAAACTAATTATGTCTATCTAACCTCTCAATGTATTGTAGGTTCTACCTTAAATGTGCTTCAAAGCGGTACATTCAAAGTGTTTATGGCCAAAATAAATAGATTGATGAGCAAAAGAGAGGCACTGCAACCTACTGATGATGGCCGGCCTTATTATGGAGGCTATGTGGGGAGTCTTCGGAAATTTCCTCTAGTCAGGTTCGCTTTTGTGGGTGGTTACTCCTCACAAATAAGACTCTCCATACCAAGAGTTTCACCAAGTGATTCGGGGACGTTTTTGCCTGATCTTCAAGGATGGTGACTCCGGGTTCTCAAGTGCTCTCCTTGGAACATCACTTCAACAACCTATGTATGTCAACTATGACTTGAACAAGAAAAGAATTTCTTTTCAAGAAGCCAATTCTACCAGCACCATCATTTTGACACGTAACTAGCTGACTAACTAAGATTATACATTGTTCTTCCAATATTCGTACGTAGATCATTGTTGTGTATATTATTGACCGAGCTAGTGAATGAATGAATGAATTCAAATACAGTTTATGGGAAGAAACATTTTTGGTTTATGGGAGATTAAGATGTTGGCCCTAGTGCAAAAACAAGGTCTATAGGTGCCGCTATCTAGGAAATCAAAGGTAATGAATTCAAATACAGTGAGTTGATTGGTCATGAGGCGAAGGCTCACACTACTACAAAAAAGGCCTTTTAAATCATTTATTTTTACCTTTTTTAATCGTTCATTTTTACTATCTGTACAGTTGTTAAACCGATTCAAATGCCCCTTCCCAGAAGTGGCGCAAATTCTGGGAAGGGGCTTTTGAATCGGTTGTTAGAAAATTCTGGGAAGAGGCTTTTGAATCGGTTGTTAGCTAACAACCAATTCAAATGCTCTTTCCCAGAAAACACTGAGAAATCTTCTTGAGAATAAATTGGGAAAGTTTTGAGCATCACCTTTAAATAAGCTAAGCATCACCAATGGTTTCCATCTTCTTCTTCGCAAAACTTAGAATATTGGTCTGGATCCATCAGCAAGACATCTCCTTGGGATAATCTATCTCCACTTTTATGACTACCCATCTTCATATGGGCTCCTGTTAACCTGAAATTCGGTTTAAGACGACGCTGTAAAACTTAGTACCACAAGCAGCAAACTGACAGTCATCCGAACTTAACCAAACACAATCAATGAATGAAAGTATTCAGACTTGCGCAATGGACACATTGGAGCAATTATCATTTCGCACAAGAGTTTATCACATTGGAGTTCCTATTCTATCTAAAAACTTATATTCTACGAATGAATAGTACCAACGAACATCAAAAGTAGCAATTCAGCAAAATCAACCACATATATTATATCCATTCACAACCTCAAAATTATCAATTTGAAGGCTGAAAATTCGAAATCGATGGGGATGTTAGAAGTCCTTACCATTCCGATTGAGCTAGCGTTTTTTGAGCCAATGTTCCCGCAATCAAAATCAATTCACGACCGCAAAACCTGGTAACCTCGCCGGAAACGCTATTGGGAGCCAAGGTTCCTGCGATCGGAAACCCCAAGTCACGTTTCGGTTCGCGAATCTCCATCTCTCTCTCGTCACTCCGATCGCCTCTGCGCCAGGGTGTGAACTCACCGGAGACGCCCTTGTCAGAATCACGACGGCCTAGTGCTCTGCTCCTTTTCGTCTCGCTCTTCTCTGCGCGTAGTTTCGTCGAGTGCGAGAGAGGGAGTAGCTAAAATACTCCGTAATGAGTAATTATTCCTCCGCATTAGATTCCTTCATTCCCAAAGTTCTTGTTCATTTTTTATTTTTTGTAATCAAACTTATTCCATAATAGATTTTGATAACAAAATAAATAAAATTAATAATAGATATTGATATGAAAATAATTTTGTTAGATTTATCTTTTCAATTTTTTAAAAATATATTATTTTATTTGATTTAGAAATTATATAATTTTTATGAATTATAGATCAAAAATTGATATCGATCCACTGTCAAAAGTCAAAACTAAACAAACATTTTAGACGTCATTGTTTCTATTATAACTTTTCGATAGCTTTTGTTTGTTAGTATACTTAATTAATAATTTGATAAAATAAATTTACACAATTTTTTACATATACTTTTAAACGATATAATTTTTATTTTTATTTCTATACAAATTTGATATTAAAATAATTTTAAACATGATGGAAATTTACACGTTGTTGGGAGTGTGACATTCAATATGGGATGGGGGAAGTAAGTGTTTTTTAATAAATAGTTATTTTAATGAACTGTAGGTAAAATTAGGCAAAATACCGACAGATAAAAATTGTTGCTAAATCTATAAGATATAGCGATAGATATTTTTTCTGTGAGTCAAACACTTTTTGCCAACAAATAGTATTATCTGTCGGTAATATTCTTTTTAGAGACAAGTAATGGTTTTGTCTCTAAGTATCTAGAAAAATCACCCTAAATAAGATTAAGAGGCTGTTTGGCAACCTCTGAATAGGTAAGTGCTGAACGAGTAAGAGGTATGAACCATTAAGTGCTGAACCAGTAAGAGGTCTGAACCATTAAGAGCTAGTAGATTGCTTAACTATTCAGAGGCAAATGTCTGATCAATTCAGATAAGAGGTCTTAACCATTCAGACTCTGTATAATACTTAACCATTCAGAGGCAAATCTCTTAACCATTCAGATATCTGAACCATTAAGAGGCTGAAACAAACAGTCTGAACCATTAAGTGCTAAACCATTCAGACATCTAAACCATTAAGAGGCTGAAACAAACAGCCCCTAAAACATTGAAAAATACCAAAATATGATTTCCATGTTTTTATTCCCGAAATAGAAGTTGGCATTGTGGTAATGTGGATGTATTGTGGCATTACACATATGCACATTACTATATTTTTTGGTATTGTGGAATTCCCGAAATAGAATCATTGCACCTACATCTTTTTCCGTGCCTTAGTGAGGCGATCTACGCTCTAGGAGGCCGGGGGATCTGGACTTCAAGTGGAGTCATCTAAGACACTAGGTTAGTGTCATGTACTTCTATTTTGGTGACAAATGTATCTTTAGTTGGACTTTTGGTACTATACTTACGATACATATGGTCACTTCTGAAGGAAATCTAGTACCCTTGTGTATCTATTTTCTTTTGAGAGGTTTCAAGTCAAAGTGGAGGTTTGTTAGAAAATATCATGAATTTATTTTTAGGATCTATCAAGATTATGACTAGGATTAAGATTAGGTTTATCTTATTTATTTTTTATATCTATATATGTGTAGGATTTGGATTACACATATCCCCTTTCTTATATAGTCTATATTTGTACTCAATCTCTCATTAAGAGCAGCTGTAATCTGGTGAGAAAATTTAGAGCTTTTCTCATTTGTGCATGAAAGTCAGTAACAAGCTATTAGTAAATTGTGTTTAATATCTGTCTTCCCCATGATTGTCGATTGTTCAAGTTCATACTTTTCTCGCATTGGTCATAACATAACCAAATTAGATATCACTCGCAGCCAACTTTGTATTCTTGTTTCACGAGTGAGAATAAAGACATAATTAAAAATACTAGGTATAGACGACAATGGAAACATTATAATCATACTAAAATATTGTATACCAGAAGTCTTTCAAAAGAATTGGATCTAAACAAGACTTTATCGTGTATATCTTTAATTTCTCAAATATTATTTATTCTACTTTGATGGCGTTCATTTCTACTGTATTATATTATAAATCATTTTGGAAATATGTTTTCTTTAACCCAAAAACATATTACATTGAAAAAATTAGAATGGATAAAAGTTTTGTTCAACATCATACACAATACATATTACTAGTTTCTTATATTCAAATATAATACGGTATGATTTTAGTCCATTGCCATCAAATGTACTCATCTTTAATATGTAAGAAATTAAATGATTTGAGATTGAAAATGCCGGGTGTGATAATAGTCTAATTCAAAGAAAATAGAAAACAAATTACACTAAACCAAAACGACGAAAAGGAGGTAGGAGAAATAATGTATAGATAAATAAAAATGAGAATGGAGATCGTTGAGCTGGTTTGCTCGAAAGGTTAAGGGGGAAGACTTAAGATCTTCTGCACATAAGTGCGCGTGGGTTCGAACCCCACAGCCAGCACATTTTTTTGGCCAAGTCAAAAAAATCTTTTTTTTTGGCTTTTCTGCGGCCAATAATTCATGAAAATTGAAAAACCCAGCATATGTAAATCCCCACAGCCAGCAGATTTTTTTTGGCCAAGTCAAAAAAATCTTTTTTTTTGGCCAAGTCAAAAAAATCTTTTTTTTTTGGCTTTTCTTCGGCCAATAATTCATGAAAATTGAAAAACCCAGCATATGTAAATCCCCACAGCCAGCAGATTTTTTTTGGCCAAGTCAAAAAAATCTTTTTTTTTGGCTTTTCTTCGGCCAATAATTCATGAAAATTGAAAAACCCAGCATATGTAAATCCATCATCACTCAACTCAATGCTTCCCAATTTCCTTCATTTTATGTATCTCCCTCCACATCCAAGGCTCATCACTTGTCACGCCATAAACCATATTCAAACTCTCGAGCTTGTCCAAATATGATCCGTTCACTTGCAGAGATTGATTATCCATGAGTTATTATATACGGATGCCATTATGTTTTTTTTTTTTTTTGGGGGGGGGGGGGGGGGGTT